AGGTGGGCGTGGTGGTGCGTGCCTGTAATCCCAGCTACTTAGGAGGCTGAGGCAGGAGAATTGCCTGCGCCCAGGAGGCGGAGGTTGCGGTGAGCCGAGATCGCGCCATTGCACTCCAGCCTGGGTCACAAGAGCGAAACTCCGTCGCAAAAAAAAAAAAAAAAAAAAAAAAAAACACCAAAAAAAAAAAAAAAGAAAAAAAGAAACTCAAAGTCATGAATATCTTTCCCAATTTCCTGGAGGAAAAATCTCCAATGTGACGACTTTCATGTCTTTCCAATGACCCTATGTGGAACACTTCTGTATTGCCTGGCCCTGTTGACGAGAACTCCTTCGTCATGCATTTGGAAGAGAAACTTATAAACTGTAAACACGAATAGGTTTCTAATTCAGTACAGATGGTAAAAAATACAGCAATATGTAAATACGACACAAAAAACAATACTTAAACATTCCAAACTTAATCTTCAAAGTTCAGGACCACAAAAGGAGTAAGATTTTTTTTTTTTTTTTGAGATGGAGTTTCGCTCTTGTTACCCAGGCTGGAGTGCAATGGCATGATCACGGCTCACCGCAACCTACGACTCCTGGGTTCAGGCAATTCTCCTGCCTCAGCCTCCTGAGTAGCTGGGATTACAGGCACGCGCCACCATGCGCAGCTAATTTTTTGTATTTTTACTAGAGACGGGGTTTCACCATGTTGACCAGGTTGGTCTCGATCTCTTGACCTTGTGATCCACCCGCCTCGGCCTCCCAAAGTGCTGGGATTACAGGCTTGAGCCACTGCGCCCAGCCAGGAGTAAGATTCTTTAATAAATAAAGGATGATTATATGCACTTCAAATCATTTCCATGGAATCCTATTTCCAATATCATGACAAAACACTAACAGGGCAGCAACATGTGTGAGCCTAAAGTAAGGAGTATTCTTCCACTGTGGTCCTCAAGTGTAAAACAGTTTGCAAAAAACATATCACTGTTTCAACAATGAAGATAAAAACATATCTTCATATTTATAGTACATTTACTGTATGCAAATAAATGTTAACAGACTGTACAATATAGTGTATTGGTAAATTCACAACAAGCTAATGTAAGGATAACCAAATTCAATGGAAATTCTGCATAGTCAAACAATCATAGCACTGAGAAGATAAGAAAAGATTATAAAAAATAGCCAGGCGTGGTAGACTGCACCTGGAGTCCCAGCTACTAGAAAGGCTGAAACCACAGGCACAAGAATCACCTGCACCCACAAAGCAGAGTTGCAGTCAGCGGAGGTCACAGTACGGCACTCCAGCCTGGGCGACAAAGTAAGACTCCATTTAAGAAAAAAAAGAAAAAAAAAAAAGGAAATATTAATATAGTATTTTTCTAAATAAATATCATAAAGATACCTATATCCATGCAGAACAGGCACTTTGTAAAATTTTCTTAAAAACATTTTGTATTTTTATTTTTTCAAGAGGCAGTCTCACTGTGTCACCCACGCTGGAGTGCAATTATGTGATCTTGGCTCACTGCAATCTCCACCTCCAAGGTTGAAATGATCTTCCTGCCACAGCCTCCTGAGTACCTGGGATTACAGGCACACACCACCATGCCTGGCTAACTTTTATATTGTTAATAGAGATGGGATTTCACCATGTTAGCCATGCGGGTCTCGAACCCCTGACCTTAAGTAATCCACCCGCCTGGGCCTCTCAAAGTTCTGGATTACGGCCGGGCGCGGCGGCTCAAGCCTGTAATCCCAGCACTTTGGGAAGCCGAGGCGGGTGGATCACGAGGTCAAGAGATCGAGACACCATCCTGGTGAACATGGTGAAACCCCGTCTCTACTAAAAATACAAAAAATTAGCTGGGCATGGTGGCACGTGCCTGTAATCCCAGCTACTCAGGAGGTTGAGGCAGGAGAATTGCTTGAACCCAGGAGGCGGAGGTTGCGGTGAGCTGAGATCGCGCCATTGCACTCCAGCCTGGGTAACAAGAGCGAAACTCCGTCTCAAAAAAAAAAAAAAAAAAGTTCTGGATTACAAACATGAGCCACTACAAGCAGTAGCACTTTGTGACACTAATGAGTGGAATGTGTCAGTTACACTACATACCACATTCCGAAAAGCTGTAGGGAAAACCATAAAAATTAATAAAATATTCTAATCAGTGATAAAACGAGAAAGCAAATAAAGTGCATTTAGAAAGCCTACAGAGCTCTAGACTCACTTAAGAGAGATGCCACAGCTTCTACTTCCAGCGCACAATAGAAGAACTGAAATACGTGTTAAGATCACTACCTTCTGATGAATGAGGTCAAGAAAATACAGAGCATTATAAAAAAATAAGAATTAGCCGGGCACGGTGGCTCAAGCCTGTAATCCCAGCACTTTGGGAGGCCGAGGCGGGTGGATCACGAGGTCAAGAGATCGAGACCATCCTGGTCAACATGGTGAAACCCCGTCTCTACTAAAAATACAAAAAATTAGCTGGGCATGGTGGCGCGTGCCTGTAATCCCAGCTACTCAGGAGGCTGAGGCAGGAGAATTGCCTGAACCCAGGAGGCAGATGTTGCAGTGAGCCGAGATCGTGCCATTGCACTCCAGCCTGGGTAACAAGAGCGAAACTCCGTCTCAAAAAAAAAAAAAAAAAAAGAATTGACTAAAGTCCGAGTGTGGTGCCTCAGGACTGTAATCCCACCACTTCAGGAGGCCAAGGCAGGCAGTTCACCAGCTCACGAGTTCAAGACCAGCCTGGCCAACATGGCAAAACCCCGTCTATACTAAAAATACAAAAAAATTAGCTGGGTGTCATAATCAGCACCTGTCATCCCAGCTACTCGGGTGGCTGAGGCAGGAGAATCATTTGAACCTGGGAGGCAAAGGTTGCAGTGAGCTGAGATTGGGACATTGCAGTCCAGCTGGAGCAACACGGTGAGACTCTGTCTCAAAAAACAAAGAAACAAAAAAACTTTACCAGGGTAAGGACAACACATAAATGAAAAAAAAAAGAGTTGACTAACGGGTTTTATCATGGGTTGGAGGATGCAATTATGCTGTCACAACTACAGTTATTTAACACAGGCAGGCAATACAGGAATTCTATATATATGCATGGCCCTTAGTTATCTAGTTCATTAAGCATAAAATATAAAACATGAATATACTGGGAAAATCTGTAAACTGAGATCAGAAAAGAAAAACATTGTATAAAACAAATTGCACAGGCCGGGCGCGGTGGCTCAAGCTTGTAATCCCAGCACTTTGGGAGGCCAAGGCGGGTGGATCACGAGGTCGAGAGATCGAGACCATCCTGATCAACATGGTGAAACCCCGTCTCTACTAAAAATACAAGAAATTAGCTGGGCATGGTGGCGCGTGCCTGTAATCCCAGCTACTCAGGAGGCTGAGGCAGGAGAATTGCCTGAACCCAGGAGGCGGAGGTTGCGGTGAGCCGAGATCGCGCCATTGCACTCCAGCCTGGGTAACAAGAGCGAAACACCGTCTCAAAAAAAAAACAAAAAAACAAATTGCACAATAAAAACATAAGAAATACAATGCTGCATTAACAAGTAGAGGGATAAGTCAGGGCAAAGAGAGATGCCCATTCAGAGATCTTAGGATTTAAACTTTTCTTTTGCTACAGAATTCTCCCACTTGTAGACTGTTTCCCCACACACTATTTAAAGGTGCAGTGTTTACTCTGCCCATCTCAGCTCTTACCTGTCATTACACCTGTAATACATTCCCACTCATCTGGAATATTTTTTACTATTTTCACTTCACTTTCCACAGTCCACAGCTCTTTCACTGGCTCCAGCATTGAGATAACAGGTCAGAAAGAGTCTCCTGCTTATAAAAAGAAAGGGACGGCAGGAGGGGTGGCTGATGCCTGTAACTGCAGCATTTTGGGAGGCCGAGGCACGTGGATCACCTGAGGTCAGGAGTTCGAGACCAGCTGACCAATATGAAGAATTCGGGCTCTGCTAATAACACAAAATTAGCCGGGCATGGTAACACAGGCCTGTAATTCAGGCTACTTGGGAGGCTGAGGCAGGAGAATCGTTTGAACTTGGGAGATGGAGGAAACAGTGAGCCGAGATCACACGATTGCACTCCAGCCTAGGCAACGAGAGAAAAACTCTGTCTCAAAATAAAAAAAAAGAAGGAAGGAAGGAAGGAAGGAAGGAAGGGAGGGAGGGAGGGAGGGAGGGAGGAGGGAAGGGATATGCTAGAGTTTTTCTAGAGTCCCAGCCCTACATTTCAGGAGGAAAGGACACATTACAGATGGATCGAGGAAAGTATTTCACAAATTCCTCCACTGACTGCCTCCTTCTAAATGCTTAGGGAGCATTATAATACATGAACATTAAGCTGTCTTCCAAAAACTATTGAATCAAAACCACAGGAGTAGCAAACAGGGAACTGGTTCTCTGTTTTTTGCTTTGCTTTTTTTTTTTTTTTTAATATCATTTCTAAATATTAAGCGACAGGGTTTAACCATGTGAGCCAGGATGGTCATGATCTATCCACCTCGGCCTCCCAAAGTGCTGGGATTAAGGTGTGAGCCACCAAGCGTGGCCTGAACTAGATATCTTTCATGTCCGCCAGAAGGTTTTGTTTTTGTTTTCTGAGACAGAGTCTTGCTCTCTCCCATGGGCTGGAGTGCAGTGGTACGATCTCAGCTCACTGCATTCTTGGCCTCCCAGGTTAAAGCGATTCTCCTTCCGCAGCCTTTCTAGTAGCTGGGATTTCAGGCATGCGCCATCACTTTCAGCTAATTTTCATATTTTTAGTAGAGACGGGCTGGTCTCAAACTCCTGACCTGAAGTCATCCACAAGCCTCAGCCTCACAAAGTGCTGGCATCACAGGCGTGAGTCAATGCACCCAGCCTGCCATAAGGTTTGCGCCTACTTTAGTTCTGGAACCCCCACTCAGGTATCACGAAGGATGCACAACATCTAAATATACAAGGGCACGTCCCCGCTTCTGGAGGGAAGTTGTCCTCACCCAGGGAGACCAGGTTCCTGTAGTTCTCCAGCATCACGTCCCTGTATAAAGTCCTCTGAGCAGGGTCCAGGCATCTCCACTCCTCCTCAGAGAATTCTATAGCCACATCACTGAATGTCAATGGACCCTGAAATAAAACCACATTTTAACCACATGGTTATGGGAGGTGTTCTTATCTTTACAGAGAATGAGAAGAGCAGAGAGCTGAAAGGATGGATGTAATGTAGGGAATGTTCTGAGAAATGGAGAAAGCGATTTTTCATCACATTATTTCTTCCTGGTTGTGTTTATTCCACGTTTTGAAGCAGTCATGATACCCTCTCAGTACGAATTTCTTATATTTGTGGAAACGACAACACACACACACACACACACACACACACACACACACAAATTAATGCAGCATTCCTGCTATAGAAAGATTAGAAACTTTTCTTTGGGTAGAGATGGGGTTTCACCATATTGGTCTGCCTGGTCTTGAACTCCTGACCTCAGGCGATTCACCTGTCTCTGCCTCCCAAAGTGCTGGGATTACAGGAATGAGCCACCACGCCCAGCTGGTTAGACACTTTCATTGACACACCAAGTCACATTCAGTATCTAGATGAGACAGAGCATGAGTGATGTTTTCAGAGATGACAATGTCCACAGTGAAAGATCAGAAACTGAAATTCAGACAGGCACTGTGGCACAGGCATGTAATCCCAGCATTTGGGAGGCCAAGGCTGGTGGATCACCTGAGGTCAGTCAGGAGTTCAAGACCAGCCTGGAAAACATGGTGAAACCGTGTTTCTCCTAAAAATAAAAAATGGTGCCGGGCGTGGTGGCTCAAGCCTGTAATCTCAGCACTTTGGGAGGCCGAGGCGGGTGGATCACGAGGTCAAGAGATCGAGACCATCCTGGTCAACATGCTGAAACCCCGTCTCTACTAAAAATACAAAAATTAGCTGGGCATGGTGGCGCGTGCCTGTAGTCCCAGCTACTCAGGAGGCTGAGGCAGGAGAATTGCCTGAACCCAGGAGGCGGAGGTTGCGGTGAGCCGAGATCGCGCCATTGCACTCCAGCCTGGATAACAAGCGTGAAACTCTGTCTCAAAAAAAAATAAAAATAAAAAATAAAAATAAATAAAAAATGAGCCCTGCATGGTTGCCGCCATGTGTATGCCAGCTACCTGCGAGGCTGAGGCAGGATTATCGCTTGAACCTTAGTGATGGAGTTTGCAGTGAGCAGAAATCATACCATTATACTCCAGCCTGGGCAACAAGAGCACAACACATTCCCAAAAAATATAGCAAATCAGTAATAACTATGGGTATGAGGTTTAATGGAGGAGTGATGAAATAATCTGTATAACAAACCACAAATGACATGAGTCATTGATCATTATCAAACTGTCCTAATTACAGTAATAGCAATAACTAACATCTTTGATCACTTCCCATGTGCTAAACACTGTTCTAAGTGCTTCCCATGTCCTCAGCAATAAACTAAACACACCGTTCCACAAGGAAAGATCTGTCCTTAAAGAGAACAGCCTCACACGCACGCTAGGAAACTTGCAACAAATCAAATGTCATCACAAGCATCTGAATCCAGAAGTCGGGATTCAGCTTTGAATATAACCACCTAAATAACAGACACATCTTCAAATCGACATTGACAGAGATTTATCTTGTGGAGAGAAGTGAGAGAAGTTCAAGGTTGAGAACATGCAGCATCGAAAAAGGTCACTGAATATTCACACAGGTGTGCATGCAACCCTTTATCATCCTTATCTTTTTTTTTTTTTGAGACAGAGTTTTGCTCTAGTTACCCAGGCTGGAGTGCAATGGCGCGATCTTGGCTCACTGCAACCTCCGCCTCCTGGGTTCAGGCAATTCTCCTGCCTCAGCCTCCTGAGTAGCTGGGATTACAGGCACGTGCCACGATGCCCAGCTAACGTCTTATCTTTTTTTTACTTTTGAGACTGATTTTCACTCTATGGCTGTAGCTGGAGTGTGGTGGTGAAATATGGGCTTACTGCAATCCCTGACATTCAGGTTCAAGCAATTCTCTTGCCTCAGCCTCCCAAGTAGCTGGGATTCTAGGTTCCTGCCATAGTGCCCAGAAGACAGACAGACAGACAGGCAGACACACAGACACACACACACATTTTTTTTGAGACAGAGTCTTGCTCTGCCACCAGGCTGGAGTGCAGTGGTGCGTTCTCAGCTCAATGCAATTCTGAATCTTTGGTTACAGTTCTCCTGCCTCAGCCTACCAAGTAGCTGGGATTACAGGCATACACCCTAATGCCCCGTAGTACCAGCTACTTAGGAGGCTGAGGCAAAAGGATCGCTTCTAACCAGGAGGCAAAGGTTGAAGTGGGCTGAGATCACAGCACTGCACTCCAGGCTGGGTGACAGAGTGAGACTCCATCTGAAATAAACACAGACACATATACATACAATTAGCTGCATGTGGTAAAATATGCCTGTCATTCTATCATTTTGGGAGGCTAAAGTATGGACCACTGGAGCCCAAGACATTGAAGCTGCTGTAAACTCTGGATTGTGCCATTGTACTCCACACCTGCACCGTATAGCCACATAGAGACACCTTCTCTCTGTTTTTGAGACATAGTCTCACTCTGTCGCCCAGGCTGGAGCGCAGTGACATAATCTTGGTTTCCAGTAACCTCCACCTCCTGGGTTCAAGTGGTTCTCCTTTGTCAGCCTCCTGAGTAGCTGAGATTACAGACATGTGCCACCACACCAGCTAACTGTTGTATTTTTAGCAGAGATAGGGTTTCTCCATGTTGGCCAGAGTGATCTCAAACTCCTGACCTCAAGTGATCCAGCTGCCTCAGCCTCGCAAAGTGCTGGTATTATATGCATCAGCCACGACACGAGGACCAACGTCCTATCTCGTAGAAAAAAAAAAAAATTTAGATTCAGAGACATGTTGATCTACTAGTATGGCTTCCACTGCATTACCAAATCAGTTACAAAATATCTCCCCTTACTGGTCTCCTTTTCCAGAATTTACCAGACATCTGTGCACAGTAACCTATGTGTTTCATACGTAGTTTCTCTGATCTCGTCCACAAAGTTCCTACATCCAGATGTGGCCCCTGAACCATCCAGGCTGCCCAGCAGCACTGACATCACGGTGCCCCACCCCGTGTCCATCCAGGTCTGGTGTCAGCCCTTCCCATGACCATGCCCAGTGGAGCCTCTTCTCAGGTTCATGTCACTGGGTCACAGGAGATGGAATCTCAGAGCAGATGACAGGAACCGAGGGAAGGCATGGGTTAGTGCAAGCCAACGTGTCAGACAGGACACTTCAGACTCAGAACAGACTGGCTACTACAATACCTGGCATTTCAGAAAGGAAAGAGACAGATGAATCCACCGAGGAGTGTCACTTTACCTGAGGAAGAGCCATGCCTGGCTCCTTTTCTTGCCTCTTCTGAGCTGCTTCCTCACTTAACCTGAGCCTTTAGAAATCAACCCTGTACGTGAAAAAATTGAAGACTTAACGTTAGAAAAAACTGACTCCTGACTCCTTTCCTGTGATAACACACACAAAGGGGGGGCACCTCACCCTGTAGAAAGACAGGCGTCTGCTGCCCACTGCACCAGAGAATATGCAGAGAGAAGACAGTCCCGCAGGAACACCTGCAACTGTGTGTTTCACCCTGGTCTTCAGATCTCACTCCCCTCCTGGAGAAGCCCCACACACCAGGCAGCAGTGGGGAGCTGGGCTGAATTGAGCTCCTCTTCAGGGCATAGACCCTGCCCTTACCAAACCCCATCCACAGCACAGCCCCTCCCCTCTGTGTGGATCACAGGCTCAGCTCAGTCCTCAGAACTGGGGGACACAGAGCCCTGACCCTCAGTGCTGCTCACAGATTACTATCACCTGGGACACTGCCAGTATTACTGAGGGTGGGTTCCATCCCATCAGAATAAGAATCTCTGGTAAAGCAGAAGAATGTTCCATTTGCAAAATGCCTCTGCACTGGAATGTGAAGCCAGGGCTGAGCTCCACTCAGAGGGGTGAGCCCAGCACAGCCACACGTTCTGGCTCTGATCTGCCCTTCGCGCCTTCTTCTCACCAGGATCCAGACAGTGGATGGCAAAGCCACAGCACTAATCTCAAGAACAGACAGCGTGGACTAGAGGTGGGATGAAATTTGGGCTGCGTGAAAGGAAAATAAAACTTGGGGCCCCAAAATCACTAAGCAAAAGGGAAAAGCCAAGCTGGGATCTGCTTAGGAAAGCAGAATCCCCTTCTATTCAAAGCCACCCCTCTGCTCCCTGACACAGACGTGTATCTGACTGCTGTCTTTGGAAAGGTTCATCAGAAACTCAAAGCGAGGACACAGCACAGGGGCTGACACCTGTAATCCCAACATTTTGGAAGGCCCAGGCAGGCAGATCACTTGAGGTCAAGAGATTGAGACCAGCCTGACCAACATGGAGAAACCACGTCTCTACTAAAAATACAAATACCTGGCTGGGTGAGGTGGCTCATGCCTGTAATCCCAGTACACTGGGATGCTAAGGTATGCAGGTCGCTTGAGGTCAGGAGTTCGAGACCAGCCTCACCACCATGGAGAAACCCCGTATCTACAAAAAATTCAAAAAGTAGCTGCATGTGGTGGGGCGTGCCTGTAGTCCCAGCTACTCAGAAGGCTGAGGAGGGAGAATCGCTTGAACACGAGAGGCGAAGGTTGCAGCGAGGCAAGACTGTGCAACTGCACTCCAGTCTGGGTGACAGTCTCAAAAAAAAAAAGATATATATATTTTTTTTTATTATTTATTTATAAATAAATAAACAAGTATCAGCCAGGCCAGGTGGGGCGTGCCTGTGGTCCCACCTGGGAAACAGTAATAGTGTCTCAAAAAAATAAAAATAAAAGTTAAAGGCCAGGCGCAGTGGCTCACGCCAGTAATCCCAACACTTTGGGAGGCTGAGGCAGACAGATCAGCTGAGGTCAGGAGTTTGAAACCAGCCTGACCAAGATTGAGAAACCCGGTCTCTACTGAAAATACAAAACCAGCCGGGCATGGTGGTACATGCCTGTAACTCCAGGTACTCAAGAGCTGAGGCAGGAGAATCGCTTGAACCCCTGGGGTGGACGTTGTGGTGAGCCAAGAGTTCACCATTGCACTCCAGTTTGGGCAAGAGCAAAACTCTGTCTCAAAAAAAAAAAAAAAAAAAAAATTTAAAACATAAAAATCGGCTGGGCGCGGTGCCTCAAGCCTGTAATCCCAGCACTTTGGGAGGCCGAGGCGGGTGGATCACAAGGTCGAGAGATCAAGACCAACCTGGTCAACATGGTGAAACACCGTCTCTACTAAAAATACAAAAAATTAGCTGGGCATGGTAGCGCGTGCCTGTAATCCCAGCTACTCAGGAGGCTGAGGCAGGAGAATTGCCTGAACCCAGGAGGCGGAGGTTGCGGTGAGCCGAGATCGTGCCATTGCACTCCAGCCTGGGTATCAAGAGCGAAACTCCGTCTCAAAAAAAAAAAAAAAAAAAAAAACACCATAAAAATCAACTAAAGAAATAAGAGGAAGTAGATAAAAGAAAACTCATTAGAAAATGAGAACAAAAGTACTCTACTTTTTTTTTCTTTTTTTTCTTTTTTTTTTTTTCAGATGGAGTTTTACTTTTACTGGAGTAAAACTTTCACTGGACTCCAGTGCTGGGATTACAGGCTTGAGCCACCGCACCCGGCAAGGTCCCCTCATTTTAATTACTCTTTCCCTCCCTCATTCTGCACCCAGCTCTTTCTCACCTTCTCTCTGTGGGTAATACCCCATATAGGCACCGAGGAATGAGAGCTAATCAGAACCCTGGCACAGTTAGGGCTTGAAGAATATCTCACTTTGTAGTGTTACTACTCAGCTATTTCCTTTTATATAATCCTTTACATAATCATATATTAATTTACAGAATTATGGCTTAAGAAATCCCTTTAAGGCCGGGCGCGGTGGCTCAAGCTTGTAATCCCAGCACTTTGGGAGGCCGAGGCGGGTGGATCACAAGGTCGAGAGATCGAGACCATCCTGGTCAACATGGTGAAACCCCGTCTCTACTAAAAAAATACAAAAAATTAGCTGGGCATGGTGGCACGTGCCTGTAATCCCAGCTACTCAGGAGGCTGAGGCAGGAGAATTGCCTGAACCCAGGAGGCGGAGGTTGCGGTGAGCCGAGATCGCGCCATTGCACTCCAGCCTGGGTAACAAGAGCAAAACTCCGTCTCAAAAAAAAAAAAAGAAATCCCTTTATATAGTCCTCTATATATAATCATGTAATAGTTAATAGTATGAGTGCTTAAAGAATATTTCCCTACATATATACCTATAATTATATTTTAGTTCACAATCGGAGGAATGCCTAGAGTGGACATAGTACAGAGCATGAATTAAGGAATAAGCAGCTTATAATTGGAGGAATGCCTAGAGCAGATGCAGTGAAAAGCATAATTTAAGGGAAAAACAGTCATACCAGGACAAGAATCCATGGCCCAGGAGGCCGCGTTCAGTATCGTAAAGATACCCGCTGTATGGCAGGCTTGGGGTGAGAGCCACTCCTCCTGATAAAGGAGTTGTAGGACCTTGCTCCAGTTCTTGTGGAAGGCTGCCCTCAGACCGGCAATCCACCTTTGTGACTGTGAACTTTATCAGCTCTTCCTACTGTTCTGCTTGAAAAGCACCTTCCCATAGAACCCATTGGAAGCTGCCAGAAGGTGGCAGTAACCCTGACAGCTCTGTCGCTGCTATGTGACTTAAAGCATCCTCCTATAAATCTTCTTAGAAGTAGTTTTCCCATAGATAGAAGTATCGCACACAGTACCGTCTTCACTGCGCATGGCCCACCATGAAGCCTCGGTGACCTAATGGGGGTGGTCCCCTTACTGCACACGGCCCTTGCCTTCATGGGAACGGACCCCTTGCTGTGCACTGTCCACCTCCAGGCCTAGGTGCCCTAATAGGGGTGGACCACTCGTTTTCTTGCTCACGACCCGATCACTATCCTTAAAGATGATTTCACTCACTGCCCTGCCCCCTAACCTACACACAATAAATACTCATGCTTCTGGATATTCGGGGCCTCGCCTGCCTCCGCTTATAGGTGGCGTGGAACCCTAAGCCGGCTGAGTTTTTCTTGTATTTCTGTGTCCTGTCTCTTTATTTCTGGGATCCTTCGCCTCAGCACAGCATCAGTCTCACCCAAGACCCAGTGGGCCCTCAGCCCTGCACTCTCTCCATCTGTTTCCTTCTGCATTTCCCACTGAGTTTCTGCTTATTTTATGCCCCTCTCCTCTCCTGCCCCATTCTTTTTTTGACGTGAGTTTTGCTCTTGTTGCCCAGGCTGCAGTGCAATGGTGCAATCTCGGCTCATTGCGACCTCTGCCTCCTGGGTTCAAGCAATTCTCCTGCCTCAGCTTTCTGCTAAAAAAATAGCTAGGTGTGGTAGCTTGTTTATAATCCCAGTGACTCAGGAGGCTGAGGGAAGAGAATCGCTTGAACCTAGGAGGTGGAGGTTGTGATCAGCCGAGATCGCACCATTGCACTCCAGTCTGGGCAACAAGAGCGAAACTCCGCCTCAAACACACACACACGCAAAAGTACCACGTCGGCCAGGCACGGTGGCTCATCCTGGTAATTGCAGTATTTGAGGAGGAAAAAATGAGACGATACGGCGGCCAGCGGGTGCGATGGCTCACGCCGATAATCCCAGCACTTTGGGATGCCAAGCTGAGTGTATTATCTGAGGTTCGGATTTTGAGACCAGCCTGACCAACATGGAGAAACACTATCTCTACTAAAACTACAAAATTAACCCGTTGTGGTGGCGGGCCCCTGTAATCACAGCCTCTTGGGAGGCTGAGGCAGAAGAATTGCTTGAACCCAGAAAGTTGAGGTTGCAGTGAGCTGAGATCCAGCCACTGCACTCCAGCCTGGGCAACAAGAGCAAAACTCCATCTCAACAAACAAACAAAGAAAAACACAGGAGGATCCTTTAACCCTAGGAGTTTGAGACCAGCCTGGGAAACACAGTCCAACCTCGTTTCTAAAAATAATAATAATTTTAAAAAATACAAAAACGAGCTGGGCTTGGTGGCTCGCCCCGTGGTCCCAGCTACTCGGGAGGCTGAGGTAAGAGGATGGATTGAGTCTAGGAGGTCGACACAGCAGTTAGAGGAGATGACACCCCTGCACCCAGCCTGGGAGTTAGAAGCAGACTGTCTCAAAATAATCATTAATTAATTAATTTAATTAAAAGTATGATGTAATAACAGAAAGTGATTCTTTTCCCACTTCACTGCCCCACTTCCTACCCTACTCTGGGAAAGGGAAGAGTGACTCACAACTGAATAAGTCACTGCCTCTGGCTGCATAGGGATTCCAAGTGGAAGCTAACCTCTGATGTCAAGATTTATAAAAGGTACATGTCCCATAGATAGGAATCTTAAAATTATCAGTCTCCGACCGGGTGCGGTGGTTCAAGCCTGTAATCCCAGCAGTTTGGGAGGCCAAGGCGGGTGGATCACGAGGTCAAGAGATCGAGACCATCCTGGTCAACAAGGTGAAACCCCATCTCTACTAAAAATACAAAAAATTAGCTGGGCATGGTTGTGCGTACCTGTAATCCCAGCTACTGAGGAGGCTGAAGCAGGAGAATTGCCTGAACCCAGGAGGCGAGGTTGCAGTGAGCCGAGATTGTGCCACTGCACTCCAGCCTGGGTAACAAGAACAAAACTCCATTTCAAAAAAAAAAAAAAAAAAAAAAAGGGCTGGGTGCGGTGGCTCAAGCCGGTAATCCCAGCACTTTGGGAGGCCGAGACAGGTGGATCACAAGGTCAAGAGATCGAGACCATCCTGGTCAGCATGGTGAAAGCCCGTCTCTACTAAAAATACAAAAAATTAGCTGGGCATGGTGGCGTGTGCCTGTAATCCCAGCTACTCAGGAGGCTGAGGCAGGAGAATTGCTTGAACCCAGGAGGCGGAGGTCGCGGTGAGCCGAGATGGCGCCATTGCACTCCAGCCTGGGTAACAAGAGCGAAACTCCGTCTCACAAAAAAAAAAAATATACATCAGTCTCCTAAAAAGAAAATAATAACTTTTGCCGGGCGCGGTGGCTCAAGCCTGTAATCCCAGCACTTTGGGAGGCTGAGGCGGGTGGATCACGAGGTCAAGAGATCAAGACCAACCTGGTCAACATGGTGAAACCCTATCTCTACTAAAAATACAAAAAATTAGCTGGGCATGGTGGCACGTGCCTGTAATCCCAGCTACTCAGGAGGCTGAGGCAGGAGAATTGCCTGAACCCAGGAGGCGGAGGTTGTGGTGAGCCGAGATCCCGCCATTGCACTCCAGCCTGGGTAACAAGAGCGAAACTCCGTCTCAAAAAAAGAAAAGAAAAGAAAATAATAACTTTTAATAACTTAAAACTTATTTAAGTAGATGATAAACACAGGAGTCAACATGTCACAAGTAATCAGATCCAATCAACTCACCCACTCATCTGTACCCAAAGTCTCCCACCCTGTTTTCCTTCTCAGAGACTGGATCTCACTCTGTTGAGGCATGATGATCTTGCCTCAATGCAGTCTGGACCTCCTGAGCTCAACTAATTCTCCTACCTGGGACTCCGGAGTAGCTGGGATTACAGCTGCGAACCAACACACAAGCTTATTTTTTTTTTTCAGAGATGGGGTCCCACTATGTTGTCCAGGCTGGTCTGGAACTCCTGGACTGAAGCATCCCCTTGCCTCAGTCTCCTGAAGTGCGGGGGTAGGCGGGAGCCACTCTGATCAGCCCCTCTTTCTTCATTACTCTGCTTCCCTCCCTAATTCTGCACATCTCTCTCATTCTCCCCTTCTCTCTCTAGCTCGTTTTCTTTTCTTTTCCCCTGGGATTCTGCTCCTCACTAGTCCCCCTCTCCTCTCCTGCTGTTTATCCTCTTCTCCCTCTATTCCTCCTCTTCCGCCTCTTCTGCTCCGGCCTCACAACTTATTTAACCTCCTATTGCTCCTTCTCCCCAATGGTCCTCAATCTCCCTGTATTTCTGCTGCTGCTTCCATCTCTGAACCTCCTCTACCGTCCCTGTTACACCCCCGTCCCCACTCTCTGGCACCCCACATCCCCAGCTGTCCTCCGTGCTGTGCTTCCCTCTGTTCTCCTTGCCACCAGCACCCTCTGCTCTGTCTGCCCCGGCTCCAAACCCCTCCTCGTCTCCCTCACTCTCCTGAGCCTCCCTCTTTGCTGCCCCATCCCTGCCTTGCTGTCCTTCGTCTCTCTGTACATCTCGCTTTTCTCTACATTTCTCCAGTTGCTTTTCTCCTCCTTTCATTTTTCACTTTTGCTGTCTCTTGGCAAATCCCTCACCCATCATCTACTTTGCCATCTGTTATGGGTGTTTCTTATTCCTCTTTTCTCTGTCTCAGGTTTTCTACTGCTGTCTCCTGATCCCGTGGGCCCCCACAATCACAGGAGAGTTTGAAGTAAGTCGCCTACATCCGGACAAGCACATTTTTACAGGGGCCGGAGCTGGGCAGGCAAGGACACCTCGCGTCACAGGACAGGCCCAGGATACCTCCCCAGCTCGGGCTCAGGGGAAGGAGTGACTGCGGAGGGGAGACCTGGGGAGCGAGCAGCAGGGCCCCTCACGAGGGAGGTGTGGGGGCGACGGCGCCTTAGGACAAGGGTGGGGTCTGCAGGATCCCAGGACCAGGCAGAGGACGTGGCCTGCCCCAGACTGGAGGCGAAGGGCTGCGCTCAGGGGGCGACGAGGGCAAGGGTGGTAGGTGCCCAGGGTGGGGATCCACCTGTCGGGTGAGGATTTTAATAAGCGCGGGGCAGGAGGGGTCAGAGAAAGATTTTGAGCAGGAAAACTACGCGATAGGAAGTGTATACAGTGCCCTGTAACAGAAAAACCGGGGACGGGACAAGCCCGAGGGCGACTTTAAACCAAAAAGGAAGCGACCCCCGGACTCTCATGGAAACGTCTCAATGTGCTCTGGGTCAAGGAAGACAGGTGAGAATCTCCAGGTCTGTGGGGATCCCACGTCCCAGGTACAGAAGCGCCGGGGACCTGGGAAGCGGAGACTTAATACAAGACAGACCGAAACTCACGCGTCCCGGAGGGTCCCTCGTTCCACGCGATCCGCTTCCGGGTTTGGAGAATCTGCGCGCGCAGGACAGAAGCCAGGGCTGGGCGGGGACCGCAGGGAGGTGGGCGGGGCCAGGGACAGGAAGGGGAGGGGCGCCAGGCGGAGAGACCTCGCCCTTCAGCACCGGAAGAGGGCGGGGCCCGCCGACACTTGTGTCTCTCTCAGCCTCGCTCCCAGCGCTTGTTTCTCGCGTTTTGGAGGCGAGACCGGCCGGGTAGGCTGACACGTGAGTCAAAAGCCCTGGAATTGTCTGAAAAGGGGATGCCACGCAGAATGTGAAATGCAAAGCCCTGTCTGGGCGGAAAGTACATTTTCCTGCTGACGCCCGCAGAACAGAAAAGAAATCCTTTCCCTTTCTAGTCTCCATTCACTCGGGAGAGAGAGTCCACCCCGAGCTCAGCTTCAGAGACTTCACAAACGCCACCGCCTGGGAGGCGGGATGGAGTGCTCAGGCCAGGGAAGAGTGAGGTCACCACCTGCTGCTTGACAGAATGTTTCTCTGTTGTCCGGCCTGGAGTGCAGCGGCAAGATCTGGGCTCACTGGGATTATAGGCGTGAGCCTCCGTGCTTGGCCCAAGAAATACTCTTTACTTCACTTTTTAAAGGTTGAAAAAATATAACTGAAAACAAAAACATCTTCCCCCAAATGAGAAATCTCCACGACAATATAGAGAAAGAAGTAACAACCACTTTATCAATAAGGCTTAGACCAGATTACGATGGGAAATAGGCAAATAGCTAAGAGGTTGACAAGAGGCAAGGACGTCCCTTTTCTATACAAGGCATTAAGTACACGTTTTAAAGGTAAACACTAATAAGTCCTCAGGTAAGAGGACATGACAACACCCTTAGTCACACATGTTCGTCCTGGCTCCACTTGGTCATGGAGGTAACCATGTGTGTCAGCTCATTAGCTTCATCCGAGGGAGAGGAAAAAACCCTAACCCATGTCTTTTTGACAAGTGTGAGTTTCACAACATGGTGACAGGCACCCTCTGGTGAGGCTCCTACAATCCAACAGAAACTGATGTCAGTAGTATATAATAAAATTTAGAATATATAAGTATAATTTATGTGAACACAAAGTTTGTAGATAGCCACCTAGAAATATCAACTCCAAATGAATGAGAGCAGCATTCCAAAGTAGAGACGTTAAAGTTTCACAGGCATAGGGAAAGACAGCAGAGTTTTATCAGAATCACCACATTTTCCATTCAAGACCAGTGCATAGGTTGTGGCAACTTGATTGGTTACGGACTGATACACTTTAAGGAAGGTTACTTTATCATTCCACAACAAGGGACAATAAGCCAGGAGCGACTGCTCACACCTGTAATCTCAGCACTTTGGGAGGCTGAGGCAGGTGGATCACCTGAGGTTAGGCGTTCAAGACCAGCCTGATCAACAAGGTGAAACCCCATCTCTACTGAAAATACAAAAGTTAGATGGGAATGGCGGCAGGCAACCATAGTCCCAGCTACTCGGAAGGCTGAGATAGGAAAATTGCTTGAACCCAGGAGGCGAAGGTTACACTGCATTGAGATGGCGCCACTGTACCTCAGCTTGGGCAAGGGAGTGAGCCTCCATCTAAAAAAAGAAAAGAAGGGACAATGCTCCCAGGACATCTTATCTCTGGCGCGGCTTATTCTTACTAATTATTAACAGAAAAACTTTTTTGTTTGCTTGTTTTGAGACAGAGTCTTTCTCGGTCACTCAGGCTTTAGTGCAGTGGCTCCATCTCAGCTCACTGCAACCTCCAACTCTCGATTTCAATCAATTCTCTTACCTTAGCCTCCCGAGCATCTGGATTACAGGCATACATTATCATGCCTGCCTCATTGTTTTCTATTTTTAGTTGAGACGGTGTTTCACCATTTTGGCCAAGCTGTTTTCAAACTCCTGACCTCAAGCGATCCACCCGCCTCGGCCTCTCACAGTGCTAGCATTACAGGTGTGATCTACCACCCTGGGTCCCTGACTTTATCATCATGAAATATGAAATTGTCCTTCACCTCTTGTGTGTAGTAGACAGTTCTGCATGCTAACTTTCTTTTTTTATATTTTTCTTTTTTTTTTAAAGATGGGGTTTCACCATGGTGGCCAGGGTGGTCTTGAACTCCTGACCTCAGGTGATTCACCCACCTCAGCTTCCTAAAGTTCTAGGATTACAGGCATGAGCCACCGCACCCTGCTCTACATGCTAACGTTCAGTTTCCGTTATCCACTCAAACAACCCAGGACCTTAGTTTAATACGTTATTCTAATTGTCAGTCCCCGCCGCTAAAGTGTCAAATTCAAGTACAATTTTCTAAAAATACATATTTTTCCATGTTCTTGATGATCCCTTGTACTAGAAAACTCTATTCAAGAGGATATAAAAAGGATTGTAGATATTCAACTGCCATTTATCTCTGAGATGCAAGGATGGGTCCACATGTTCAAGCAAATCAATGTGATTTGTCACTTTAACAGAATGAAGGATAAAAACCCTATCATCTCAATAGATGGAGAAAAAGGAGTCCACAAAATTCAACATCCAGTCATCATAGTAATCCTAAACAAAAAAAATAGAGGTACAAATTTACTGCAACAATGTAAAGACCATCCATGAAAGGACCACATCAGAAATAACCAGTCTGAGAAAACGGAATGCTTCTCTTGCAGGATCTCACATGATACAAGAACGCTTTCACCCCTTCTATTCAATAAATACTGTCTTAGCCAGAGCAATTAAATAGCCAAAAAAATAAAACTCATCCAAATCAGAAAGAAAGAAGGACAATAATATGTATTTGTAAATGACATAATATTCTGTGTAGAAAATCACAGAGTCAACCAAGATACTACTGGAACTAATAAACGCATTCAGTGTATTTGCAGAATACAATTATCAGCACCAAAACTTACGTGAACTTCCATACATTAACAATAAACAATTTTAAAAGAAAATTAAAAAAAAACACTTCTGCCAGGCGCAGTGGCTCAAGCCTCAAGTAATCCCAGAACTTTGGGAGACCAAGGTGGGTGGATCACCAGGTCGAGAGATCGAGACCATCCTGGTCAACATGGTGAAATCCCGTCTCTACTAAAAATACAAAACATTAGCTGGGCATGGTGGCACGTGCCTGTAATCCCAGCTACTCAGGAGGTTGAGGTAGGAGAATTGCCTGAACCCAGGAGGCAAAGGTTTCGGTGAGCTGAGATCGCGCCATTGCACTCCAGCTTGGGTAACAAGAGTGAAACTACGTCTCAAAACCAACCAAGAAACCAAAAAACAAACAAAAAAACACTTCTATTTGTTAGAGAACCTAAAGTAAGAAAGATTTAGGAATAAATGTAAAAAGCTGAGAAATTTGTACCATGAAATCTACAAACATTGATCAAAGTGATTTAAAACATACAACCCGCTTTCGGCTTTCGGCTCGGAGGAGGCCAAGGTGCAACTTTCTTCGGTCGTCCCGAATCCGGGTTCATCCGACACCAGCCGCCTCCACCATGCCGCCGAAGTTCGACCCCAACGAGATCAAAGTCGTATACCTGAGGTGCACTGGGGGTGAAGTCGGTGCTACTTCTGCGCTTGCCCCCAAGATTGGCCCCCTGGGTCTGTCTCCAAAAAAGGTTGGTGATGACATTGCCAAGGCAACGGGTGACTGGAAGGGCCTGAGGATTACAGTGAAACTGACCATTCAGAACAGACAGGCCCAGATTGAGGTGGTGCCTTCTGCCTCTGCCCTGATCATCAAAGCCCTTAAGGAACCACCAAGAGACAGAAAAAACAGAAAAACATTAAACACAGCGGGAATATCACTTTCGATGAGATTGTCAACATTGCTCGACAGATGCGGCACCGATCTTTAGCCAGAGAACTCTCTGAAACCATTAAAGAGATCCTGGGGACTGCCCAGTCTGTGGGCTGTAATGTTGATGGCCGCCACCCTCACGACATCATAGATGACATCAACAGTGGTACTGTGGACTGTCCAGCTAGTTAAGCACAAAGGAAAATATATTTCAATAAATGTCATTTAGCAACTGGTGGAAAAAAATAAATAAATAAAACATACAGCCCGGTGCGGTGGCTCACACCTGTAATCCCCACACTTTGGGAGGCTGAGGTGGGTGGTGCTTTCTCCTGTCTGGCCAGTAGCCCACGTTAAATGAGAAAAGGTATCAACAGTAACATGCACAAAAGAGAGTCTACCAAAGGAGGGAATATGGGTAACATCTATCTACCAAAGAGTGTTAGGACAAAGTCCCCTCGGGTTAACTCCAAAGGAAAGTGGCTGTCGAACTAAAACCTGACAACAAGGACACTGCTGGACAGTACATTTAGCTTGTTTCCAAGTAATGAATAGTTTGTTTTTTAAATTCGCCGCATTAGGATGAGTTACCGCGTGAAAATCAATTACAGAAGGGACTAATGCATCAGCTCTAGCATTGGCTGCTGACAGAGGCCCCGGCAAAGGAGAATGAGAACACATATGAGTAATACAGAAAGGGGAAGATCATGCTTGAAGCGTAGCCTGGAATTGTTTTTTTTTTTTTTCTTTTTGAGACGGAGTTTCGCTCTTGTTACCCAGGCTGGAGTGTAATGGCGCGATCTCGGCTCACCGCAACCTCCGCCTCCTGGGTTCAGGCAATTCTCCTGCCTCAGCCTCCCAAGTAGCTGGGATTACAGGCACGAGACACCATGCCCAGCTAATTTTTTGTATTTTTAGTAGAGACGGGGTTTCACCATGTTAACCAGGATGGTCTCGATCTCTCGACCTCGTGATCCACCCGCCTCAGCCTCCCAAAGTGCTGGGATTACAGGCTTGAGTCACCGCACCCGGCCTGGAATTGTTTTTTTAAAACAAACTGAAAGCAAATCATCCTCAGGCAAAAAGTGAATCAGAGCAGTCTCAATGTTCTGGGCAACATGTACCACATAGGCTGAATCAGAGACAATATTGACTGGTTCAGGAAAATCCTGAAGTACAGTCATAACCACTATAAGCTCAGCATGCTGGGCTGAGGCAGAA